GTCTGCTTCTCCCTCTGAACCTCCTCCCTCTCATGCTCTCTGTCTCTCACTCTCTCTCTCTCAAATAAATAAATAAAATCTTTAAAAAAAAAAAGCAATTAAAATTCCAGCTATCAAAATTTTAAATTTTTTCAGTTGCAAGACATTATTTGGGTGCATACCTGCATTAAACATGATTTATAACATCCAGCATTTCATCCTAAAATTTTCTTTGGTATTGCTTTTATATTGCTTTATTCACTAAAGAATTATGAACCGCTTGCATCCAAGACACGGTGCTAGGTGCTATGCGGACAGGGTACTAAATAAACCATGCCCCCACCCTTGGGTTGTTCACAGTGCTGGCTAAATAAGATGTCTCACAAACGCGTGCAGTTCAAGACAGCATCGGATGAGCGTAAGAAAAAGGCAAAAGGAACCCTGGAGGAGCTTCATAGAGGATGCAGATTTTCCCTGGATCTTTAAGGCACGACAGGATTCGGGGAGCTGGAAGTGGGGGTGGGGAGCTGAGGCAGGTGGAAGGAACAGCCGAAGTCAAAGAGATACGGGCACTCTTGGGCAAGGGTGAGCTGTCCAGTCTTCCTGTGGCACGGGGCATGTACATCAGACCTCTTTTCAGAGCTCCCTTCCCTGGAGGGCACCAATCATATCCCTCCCACACCCTTTCTTTAGGATCAGGAGACAGGAGGGTGCCCTTCTCGCTCCCAGACCACTGCTTCTCAGGCTCTGATGGAAACACGGGTGCACTAAGGCTTGCGCTGTTTTATTCCACCATCCCACCCCGCCCCCCAACATCCCTATTGTCTCCTGACCACTCTCTCTTACTCAGTGAGGACTCTGGCAGTGGCTGGCTCTCTGTTCACCCATCTTCTGGTCTCCCGCCATAATCCTGGATGACTTTGGCACCCACCTGGACAATCAGATCACACCCTGTCTTCTCAGTTCCGGATGCATCTTAAGTGTCCCCCTCCATGCCACTCTGCCACCACCTCCCCTCCCATCCCCCCACCAACAGCACATCCTGGATTGCGACATCAACCAAAAGTTCTCCATCTCCAAAATCCACTGATCACACCAGACTTCCAGCTCTCCTGCTCATCCCTTTTAACTATGACATCTCTTCCAGCTCTTGGGAACCTCTGGTCCACTGGCCCTTAGCTCTCTCGTGGGCCCCCTTACTGACTTTTCCTTCCTAAGCAGCCTAGATTCTGTGCTTAATCCTCTTAATAAGGGGCACCTGGGTGGCTCAGTTGGTTGAGCATCCAACTCTTGATCTCAGCTCAAGTCTTGATCTCACGGTCATGAGTTTAAGCCCGGCTTTGGGCTCAATGCTGTGCATGGAGCCTACTTTTTAACAAAAATCCTCTTAATAATTCCCTTGCCCTTTGTCTTTTTTTCTCATCTCTCTGAGAGCCATCCATGGTCTCTGGGTCTCTATCCAGGTCCCTGGCTGGAGAAAAATCACTCAAATGTGAGGCATGGTGACCACTGAAAGATCACAGCCACCAACCTCCTGGAACTTCTCAGTGCTGCCCAGTTTCCCTGCTCAACTCTCTCTCCCTCTTTTGAACCTTCTTCCCTTTGCCCAGTCTTCAGTGCCTCCTCTCTTCCACCCCACACCTTAGTGGTCCTCAGATGGAAGCTTCCTCAGCTCTCTGCTGCCCTGCCCACCCATTCCCTTCCTTGTGCGCCACCCTCCCCTCAGTCCCACCGGTTACAAGCCTCTCCGCCTCTACTCAAGATCCCTGCTCCTTGCTGTCCTCCGGCTCCCTTCCCTGCCTGCATCTCCAGCTGTCCCTGAGCCTTCCCATCAGCATCTAATCATGATCCAAGGTCTCCTACCAAAAAAACCCCAAAATACAAAAAAAAAGACAGTTCTTCCTTGGTCCCACATCCCCTCCACTTGTTTCTTCTCCTTCACAAAGTTCTCAAAAGAATTAT